TACATTAAAAAGCAACAAGTGGATGTAAAAACATAATTTAAATTAAAGTTTCAAATGTTTTGATTACTAGGGAATGTTCCTATTTTTAAGTTTCTTCAGATAAAATGTATATAGATTGTAGTTACAATTATTATTATTATTATTATTTTTTTAAATAATTACATTTTACATTTTGTATAATATTATGTTGGACTGGCGTGATTATAATTCTTTAATTTGTATTAAAAAAATCAATAATCTTTGTAATTCCAATAAAATATAAAATGGGGAAAGTAAGTATTATAAGTCATAACAGTTCTGAGCGGAGATAATCATCAGCCTTGTCATATAAATGAATTACAATTAATAATTACTAAAGAAATTTATTTTATTATTAGTTATATAGTATATAATAATATAATTAGGAAATAATATAATATAATTTATATTTTTAAATTTGTTGAATATACCTATGAATGTGTTCAAATAATATAATTATAATATAGGTATGTAAATTTCTAAAACGTTCATAATAAAAAAAATAAAATATGAATTGCAACCAAACAACATAAATAAATGTTATTCTTCGTTAAAATATTCAACTTCATCCAAATTTGAATCTAAATTCTTAGAAAAAAAAATCAAAGTTTTATATTTATTAGATTTTTTGATTTGAATATTAACCACTTATGAGAATTATTATATTACATTTTCAAACTTTCACTATATAAATTGAACACGCAATTAATTTTTAACTGAAAAACAATTAGCAGATTTTCATGATTTTGACTAATTTTGTAGAATTTTTATAAAATGAATTGTAGTTACTTATCCTAAACATTTTTGAATGGTTTTAAGCAAGCTCACCATTCTAAAGTTCTCATCATGTATTACGTTTTTAGAATTTTTGAACTAGTAAAGAATTATTTTATCAGTAAATGCATTGATAAAAAAATCAAATATTTCAAGTATCTAAAGATTTTTTATTGTATAGAGTTTCACCATCATAACAAAATGGATGMAGTCAAAAACTGGTTTAGCGTAATAATTTTTCTTCAATTGTTTTATTAACTAGGACCTAGTTACTAGGTATATAAATA